ATAGCTAAATATTTCGTTGTGTTGATTGTATTATGTTTGCTTCTTCTATATTGATTCTTTTTTTCTATTACTTCAACATCATCGTCATCATCATCATCATCAGTGATAACTGAACCAATATACTGAATATTTACTTTTTATATATGTTTTTTACATTGTGTTCACATCATTGTGCATCTTCTTTCTAACGATGGACATGTTTTTTTGATTGAACAAATAAATATCTCCCAAGATGTATAGTGTTTATAATAAAAAATATGAACAAAAAGTTTTTCAGTCATTTGTTTTATCCTCAAAGTAGAACATGTCTTTGTTTCAGGCTGTCTGTCATCTTAATTAAGTAGGCGCATATAAAGACCTGAGACTATATCTAACTGAAAAAAGCAAGCTAGAAGACGAGAATCTATTTTAGATAGTATAGTTAATACAAGTGACACATACATACACGTGAAATAGATCTCTCGATAAATTACCAGACATTGATGGTTCACTTTTGTCCTCCTACTGGCATGACATTCAAGTTACTATTATATAACATTCTCGCTTCTTTTTTTTGTTTATATATAATATAAAGTACATACTTGAAAGACAATGCTTAGAAATAGTATATATTTGAATGTTTAAAACCATCAATAACCATCGAGTAATATAACTGAAAATTTCGCGAAGACATATGTTGACCGCTTGCGCCTTCAAAATTCATACTAAACATAGGACAAAAAACTCATAAACAAACATCTAAGATTTAAACCTAACATACAAAGAAAGGAAAACAATTAGAACAGTAAAAAAATTCTCTAAACATGCGAACATAATCATTTTATCAGAAGAAAATATTCAGACTACGAGAAAAAAATGACATTTTTTCTTACTGACGTAAGCGATGTTCGTTTAAGGATTAAACGTATGTATACCCTGTTTCAATGTAACGGAATGCTTTTAATAGAGAATAAGTTCACGGTAAAACACATCAAGTATAGATTAGTACTATAAAAGAGAGGTAAAATCTTTATAAAAAAACAAAAATGTTGAAATCTAAATGTCACAAAAAGATTTATTATATATATATTTTTTTTTTCTTAATAAAATTTAAGATCGTTTCTTGTTCATTAAATACATTAACTCATTCAGATCTATGAAGTGTGACAACGACAACTTGCCCTATTGTACACAATATTCAATGATGATGTAACAGTACAGATTAACATGTTCTCTTTTCTGATCAATCGCATGCTTTATAATTTCAATCTAAAATAGTTCAGTCAGACAATTATCTCTCTATAAAATTAGATCATAAATCAACTGTATCTTATTGTCTGATTGTTCAAGTATTCTCTTATTAAACTTTTTTTTATATTATTCTCACAAATAAATCAGATAGAATAGAAAATATATAGCTTACGGCAACAACATCAAACGATGTTGTCTATTAATTCTTATTGTCTTAAAAAACAACATGTGATGTGATCTCATGTTATCTAACAAATGTTATAAAAATAAGCAAAAAAAATTTGCTAATATATCGTGCTAAATTATTAGTATTAGAATTATAGTCCTAGTCGTAGTAAGATAACAATGTTAGAATAATGATCAAGTAAGAATTAAGGAAAAAGAATAACAAAATAGTAGAGGAACATATTATTCATCATAGAAGTATAGATTATCATTAAATTTAACAGTATTTTTCAAACATAATATCCAAACAAATGATAGGTTTTGTTTTCTAAAATATTGATTTATTCAACCAATATGACTGAAACATTATAAAATGAATGAATTTAATATCACACCTGTATTTATCTTAACGTTAATGAATTTTTGATTTATAATTAACGTATTACTTGATATATATAATTTTCATATACTAATAGAAATGATACACTGTACTTATATCGTTTGATTGTTCAATCATCGAGATTTAAATATTTTTTAATAAAATATTCACATACAACTTATATGTTCTGCATCCATGCAATAAAAACTCAGTAGTAAATCTGTTAACCTGTTTAAGTACATAAAAACACAAATATGAGGGTATCTAACTATCATCATTCTGCATTAATATTAAAAATAATTAACAATTGATTTCACAACTTACCTAATAGAGAAAATTTGATATCAACCAACGAGAGGTCTTTGATCAATCTATTTGTTAATGAATCTTTCTTGAGCGTTTGTCGTTGTTAATCAACAATACTTATCTTTTGCTTTTTCTTTTCTTCCTCTCTCTCTCTTTCTCTCATTTCTCATTGTGTCTGTAAAATTCCATTATTTTATCATTGACAGTTACCATCTGATGATGGTGATGGTGATAATAACGAATGAGAGATGTATTTCTATAACCTTGTTCAGTCAAGGTTGAAGTTTTTCTCTATGCAATGACATTATTTGGCGAGCATGTTCAAGGTCATAAATTGTCTGATATTCCATAACTGTTCAATTACTATAAAACGTTTTCTTTTTCTTCCTTCCTTTTGACATAACTTACGATATTATCGTTATTATATTCAGAAATAATAGAATAAGAGCTCATTTTATCAGATCAACATAAGAATAAGAAGAAGAAATTATACACGTTAAACATACACACGTTGCATACAAAAAAAAAAATAAATTCGTTTATTATTGATCATCTAATGAATAGAAGGTTACTAAAGAATGCATTAGCCATACATTTTTTCAAGTTACAGATCTAATATATTATAAAACATCGAAGAAAATTTACAGAGACATCACTTGACCTCGAACATAAAATGAAATAAATTATGTTTAAGTTAAACAGGAAAATAAAAAGTCTAATGAGATTAAAGACAATCTTTAGAAAAAATGAACGATTTTCTATAATAACAAAAATAAGATTTTATTTCTATCGATCATTAAAGAATAATTTAGTTAAAAATACGAGTATATAAATAAACTATGTATAAATATCTTGGACATAAATTAATAAAAACAAAAACAACTATACTTTATTTCTTCTATGTTTATTGTAATTTTCTGTAACGTTGACTTATTTCCATACTAAACTTATTGTCACTAAGCTCAATAACAATAAAGATTTATTCAAGATGAAAGAATACTTTAGAAGATTTTTTTTTTCTTACAAATACACCATCAATTTATGTACATATATTTTGATAATATACATACAAGGACTTTTATATGCCTAGACAATTATCCTTCTGTATCACAAAACTCATTTGATCATATATAAACATAATCACCTCAAACAACTGGAAAATATATGACACATGGGTATTCTAATTCACAACTATGTAACATCATTCTTTTCCTATAAAATCGAAAAATAAAAGGATACAACAATCACGAATCGAAACTTTTTCTTCTAGTAGTAACGTGAGAAAATATTGTTTAAAGTGAATTTGGCATTTGTATTCTTTTCACATTAGATATTTTGCTAATTTTTAGAACATATTTAAAACAAAATGATAATAATTCAACTAGAAAATAAATAATTTAAAAAAAACCAAAGAAATATTACCTTGTATATTCAAAATATTATCTACATTAATTATTTATCTTGAAGGATGATCTCTAGATGGAAATATGTCATTTTTATTTATTATTAGACTATTTTTGATTATCAATCATATTTAATTCTAACGTACTAACAAAAACTGCATTTTTAGATATAGATTTTACTCAATCTACATTAAGATTAGTTAAAGTTTGTACTTTTTAAGTGAATCTAGATATAACAAATACATTTGATTAAACGCTTACTTTGTCAACAATTCACAAGATTAAACTAATTTATTATATTTGACAGAGTATGTAATAAAAAGAATTTGTCATGCGTATTCTTTTTTTGTGCATTTTTCCAATATAATAAATATTCCGACTATCTAAATTAGTATTTTAGTTCATTTTCAATAGTATTATTCGTCAAGTAGAATTATTGACCAAACTCTATTGAAAAATACACATAAAAATACTGTCTCATCCGTATATAGGACATAAAATATGGATACTTTTATTTAGATAATAGAGTATAAAAAAAAGAAAACAATAACAGTAACAATACTAAAACCTAAATAATATTGTCATTACTCAAATCTGCTTCATTGTCATCATCATTCCGGACTTTAATTTTTTTTCGATTGCTTTCATTATCAATTCTTTCACTTTTTATAGTATTTAAATAAATGATATCATTTATGGGACAAGTCTGTTGTTGTGGTCGACGATGATGAGAAGAATGATGGTTATTGTGACCTCCAGTACTTCCGTTAGACCTTCTTCGACGATGCCATCGAACAGTGCGAATCTTTTGACTCAAACATTTACACAGATAAGACTAAACAAAATTATATAACAGGTGTAATCTACCTGCTACTTATCTCATAAGATTTAAGAGTAAATCGTTCCTTCCTTTTTCACTCTGTTGGCAAAAGTAGAAGCGCATGTCTGATCAAGCCCAAATTTTTACCCTAGACAGTTCAGATCCTATCTCGGGCTCCAATATTATTTTTCGACTTTTTTAAAAACTTTTCAGAACGAAAATTGAAATTGAAGACTCTTAAAAAATATTTAAAATCTCTGAGTCTGAAATATCTGTAGTAAAAATTTGGGCTCGATCGGATTATTTTCTGAGAGGTCTTAATGTGATTGGATTGGAACCATTAGTATTCCTTCTGCATTAAATATAACATTAAACCAGACACTTTTTGTAGGACATTTGCGGTGATACTCATATTTTCGCGAAAAACCATTGGAAAATTTTGGAAATGATTTCATTGCGAAGAGACCATTTTGGTCTATCAGACTATCTATAAGAGAAAATTCCGAATTTGCTGAAAACAAAGAGAAATTAATAAAACTACAGAAATTGACGTTTTTTAGACTCTTTTAGTAAAAACTTATAATAGTCGTAACTTTTTCAAGAAAAGACTGAGAGTGGTCTTATTTTTTAGCTCAGACTTTCATCAATATTAGGCTACGTTCAACTCAAGATAAAAAATTTGGTCAGTATGATACTCTTAATTGAAGATGATAATGATACATGCCCACGGTTTCGGTCCTTCTCTGCCAACTAATGGATATTTTTCATAAACTGATCGCCCAATTGCTCTGTACTCATTTGGATCTCTGATCGTCGGATTTATGGTCATAACATATTCAGCTAATTCACCAATTAATTGACTCCATCGGGTTTGAATTGTTTCATTTTTGAATGCTTCTTTAATTCCTGTTGAAAATTCGGGTAAAGCCGTGGGATAAATAAATACATGTGTTGACGGTTTATTATTGTCGTTATTCGTCATTGGATTACTATCATAATCAACGGAATTAGCATTTCCTCTCAAATCAAGCGATGACGAACTTTCATCACATTCTATGTATTGTGTTTTATTCGATGATCTTTGAAATGGTGTTGTTGTTGTCGTCGCAGCAGCGTTTCGATCGATATCTTCAGCGGCAAATTCAAATACTTGTTGTAGCAATTCCTAATAAATCGTACTTCTTTTGTAAATCAGGTGATTTCACATAAAATGCTATACTTACAAAGTTTGTGTCCAGATTATCCACTTGCTCAGTATCAGTTGTTTCACTCTTCACAATAGATGACGCCTGAAACGAAAACATGTATTGCACATTATGCCTATAAAACTTTGTCGCTTACAGTTTGACGAACAATTGACGAAGACTGTGTAAGTGATGAGGTTCTCTACGAAGAGAAAATGAAAAAAATTAGCCATAAGATCGACGGATAATCTATTACCAAACTTACACATTGTTGTACAAAATTCCAAAAATTTTTTCTATGTCGAAATGTAAAACCATGTTCTTTCTTAAAAATAAACTCAATATCCTCTCGATCTATTGTGCGAAGATCAAGACCACAAATCTTCTGCTCTAAATACATGAAGGAGCTTAACAATTTACAAACGTACATAAAACTTCGTGAAGAATAGCTAAGAGACATTTGGGTAAAAAATTCTGATCATATGCTGCGTGATTCTATCAAATACTACGAAAAATAGGACAGATGGAAATAGCATGCGATTGTGGAGCCTGATAATACTGCATCATAGGATTTTTACACTATTTTAACTGTCTGATTGTCTACCACTATTTATATGATCCTTTAAGGATTCGTGTATTAACCGACAAGATCCTACGATTTTGATTATACCAACATCGGATAATACTCTGGTGAATAATTAATAACAACTATAGTTGTTATTAATTAATTGTTCACCAGGATCACATTAATGTGTCTTCTTTGGGAGGAAAAAGATATATTAATGTGGCTAAACTTGATCCTAAGTCGCATTCTTTTTAGAGTGTATAACAGCCAAAACGTAGTCACTAACACCTATTAACGATCATCAGTAATCACTTTATAATGTAGTCTGTATAAATGTAATCCTGTTTCAAAAACAGAACACAAAAAACACACCAAAAAAAATACTACTGATAACATCGAGTCGATTGCATAACTTTAATCGTTGTACAGAATATAGACACAGAACAGTGGATTTAGTTTTGCAGTTTACTGCAAAGCTAAGTTCATGTGTTCGAATCTGTATTCGTACAAAATTGCTTTTGTGTTCCGATAGTTCTAGTTTAGAATCAGTTGTTTCACTCTTCACAATAGATGACGCCTGAAACGAAAACATGTATTGCACATTATGCCTATAAAACTTTGTCGCTTACAGTTTGACGAACAATTGACGAAGACTGTGTAAGTGATGAGGTTCTCTACGAAGAGAAAATGAAAAAAATTAGCCATAAGATCGACGGATAATCTATTACCAAACTTACACATTGTTGTACAAAATTCCAAAAATTTTTTCTANCGTTGTACAGAATATAGACACAGAACAGTGGATTTAGTTTTGCAGTTTACTGCAAAGCTAAGTTCATGTGTTCGAATCTGTATTCGTACAAAATTGCTTTTGTGTTCCGATAGTTCTAGTTTAGAATACTATAATGGAATATTTTGTATTCCACTTGTATTCTGAAAGAATAAAGCTTATATCAAATGTAATCCAAGAGTCGAGAAGCGTGTAACTCGTGCCTTTTTTAAGTGTTAGTGGCCAATGGCGGCCGTTAATGGGTCTTAGTAGCTACGTTTTGAATGCTATAGTTGTTATTAATTATTCACCAGAGTATTATCCGATGTTAGTGTAATCACCTTGATGAACTCTATTTATTAGCTGTATCAGATTTTAATTTCGATCCGGTAGTGGGAGTTAACGTATTTTACAAACTTCCCAATTATTTTAAAGTGGACTAGACTTAGGCATGCACCGATTATTATAACCACTAAATTTCATCTTTTTTCTGAAACGGATTATCTGAAAAGTATGCACATTAAAATTTTTCGTACTAATGGATTTTGTAGAGCACAGGTTTCTCGATGAGGAGGGGAGTAGGGGGCTGGTCCCTCCCTAAAAACAGTTCTGAACTTTCCGGCAAAATCTTTGACGTTTTTCCACAAGCAACTTTCTGCTAAAAATTTCGAAAACTTTTTTTCGCCATCGACTTTCTTTGAAGAAAAATTTTTCGCCTCTCCCATCTCTGAGAACAATCAGAAACTCTGGAAGAGCAAACATTTTTCTTCAAGATGAGCTATGGAATGATTCCTCGTCTTGATCCAGTACTCGGCTTGGCCACGTAACTTTGTAATTCCGTCACGTTTTTCATTTTGTTTCTTCTGTAATTCTTGAATGAGGACACGTCCAGAGCTCTCTCTACAGTATCTCATATTAACGACAAAAATATGATGAATATTTTGAGATTTTTCCACACTACACGTTCTGTTATTTAGGGACTATGACAAAAACTTCTACTTTTCAAAACTATGTGAAAAACTGGTGATTTGTGTTTTTGTCATAGTCCCTAAACAACAGAACGTGTAGTGTGAAAAAATCTCAAAATATTCATCATATTTTTCTCTTTAATATGAGACGCTGTGGAGCTCTGGGCGTGTCCTCATTCAAGAATTATAACAGAAACAAAATGAAAAACGTGACGGAATTACACTGGGGCAGTAAAGCTACGTGGCCAAGCCGAGTACCGGATTAAGACGAGAAATCCTCCCATAGTTAATCTTGTAGAAAAATGTTTGTTCTACAAAACCTATTAGTTCGAAGAATTTGAGAGAATCAATTTTCGTTGTGAAAAATATTTTGCGAAAAAAACGCACAGTTTCAATGGGTCATAACCTGTGCTAACTGAACCACTGTTTATATTTTTTTGTGTCAAATGCTTAAAGCTCGAACAACCGTTCAACTCAATTTGTCATTGATTACACTTGATATTTAATTTACGTGTGGAATCTCAATTCAACTACTTCATGTTTGTATTATCTAGCACACCGGCTTCTTACCTTCAACAATTTGAACCATTTTCTTTGGCAGTTCATATTTTAATAAGTACGAAACTAATTCTTGTGTATCAAAGTTATAAACAGACATTTTTACGATTAAACACTTCTACATAACGTATACAACTTGTTTCGGTTTATTATTTCTTCTATGTAAAACATATTATTGTCACATATGGTTTCAAAAAAAAACGTGTTTTGCATGATGATATACACCACGTAGTGCGTATTTATATGTGATATGCTGCTGTACTTTCTTATTTCGTTTCGTTTTTTCTTCTGTGTGTGTGTGTGTGTGTAAAATACATCCGAAGATTACTTTATACATTTTTTTTCTCGTCTTATTGGCGCGTGTTAAATACAGAGTGTGTATAGTTGCAAAAACATTACATAAAAAACAAAACAGCAGCAAGGAAAACCAAAATTATACTCATATTAAATAATAGAGGTGTATATCATATACATGTGTATGTGTATTTTGTACCATTATACCATATTCATTTCTTTCCTCATTCTACAGCTACTTACATGTTATTGAGAGTATAGTAAACTATATGAATTTAGTTTTTTTATCAAAACGTCATTTCTTTCGGCTTCTTCTATGAACTGTTTATACAGACATGAACGACTAATCATGTCCTGCATTTTCAATGTCCAACAGACTGATTCAAATGGTAAAAGACAATTCGACTTCTAGAAAACAATGATTAAATGGCCACTGTCATTTGTAAAAAAAAGTCTTTATTCCTCGCTCGGATAAAACAAGTGATAATAATAATTGAGAACTACTGCAAAACAAAAGTGATAACAAAAATGCATTTTCTAGAGACCATAAATAAATTGAACGGAAAAAATAGTAAAACAGTAGAAAAACAAAATCAACCACAATTTTTCAAACTCAAAACGATATGTATTATTATTATTACCACATATACCAGAAAGATATTTGACTTCAAGCAAATTCCACTTTTGCTAAACGTATAAAAATTTTTCAAATATATATACGTTTCATCTTCGTTAAATTGTGTTGAGTTATTATCAGTTGATATGACACATTGCGAACAAGAATTTTTCGTTGGAAATTGTACTTTGGGAAATTTAGGATCTCCTATATCCGTTATTTCTAATCGTTTGTTAACACGGTTATGACCTAAGCAATAACCGATGTGTGTTTGTACAATATAAAAGAAACAATTCAGTTATAGATTACCTCGCCATAAAAACAGAACACTTTCTTTAACTGTTTTGACTTCTTCCGTGATATTAGATGTCATGTTCATAAAATGTTCAACACATTCCATACAGCCAAAAAAGTTGTGAACATACTCTCTAATACCAGCAAGTACTTCTACTGGATCGATGTTATTCGCTAAAATACTCAAAAAGCCAGTCATTCAAGAAAGATCGCATTTTACCCAAAACAAACGCTGCGAAATTCATATTTTCTAATTTTGATTCTGAACTAGTTGACCTTCAGGGTACTCCTTCCCAGCCCCCACTTTTTTGATCCTCTTGAACATCAGGGAAGCCAATGTCTGATCCGGTTAAAATTTAAACCAGAGATAGAACATCAAAAAAGAACATCGATGTATCTTTGCCCAGAATTTTCTGACATGTTCTTATATGACTTTTCTGGAAACCTCCATATTTCATTAGATCACATTATGACCTCTTGGAAAAATGGTCCGATTGAGCTGGAATTTTTACCACAGATACTTTCTACCCTATCTCAGAATAGAAATTTTTATTTTCGAAAAATACTAAAAA